AGCAGGATGAGGCCTGCCGAACCTTGTCTTTATGTAACAAGGTATAGGAAAGCGCTGATGTTAGGTTTCTGAATTCAGGCACCCTTCTGGCCAAGGTTATTGCTATCAAGAATCAGTGTTCCCTAAAAGCTGTGTGCTTGTGTGACTGCTCAGGAAAGATTCAAGTGCTAACCAGCTGATTAACAAAGCACCCACAGCTAGTTTTTTGGTTTCCACTAGTGGTGTACATTCACACATGCCTCAGTGCACATTAAGTTTATTTTACACATGAATGGAAAAAAATCCACACGTAGATGGAAAAGATTTGAGGGAACATTGCCAGGAATGAGGCAGATGAGGTAGCAAGTTGCTAATAGTTCAAACTGGAGGGGGGAGAGAAGAGAAGAAGTGACAAGCCTAAGAAGGACCAAGCTGATGTCCCGGACAGCCTTTTAAAGAATTGGCTGACTACAGGCAGCCCCATTTAAGGCCAAGATTGTGGTTAAATACACCCTTATTGATGACAATCAGAAGGCCCTGCTGCTTCAGACAGAAGAGGTAATCCCAAGTAAGTGGCACTGAGGATAGCGTCAGAGGTTAATGATGCTGCATCGACCAGACCAAAATGGTATGTGGCTCTCAGAGGGTTTTCTGCTGCTAAGGAGGACTTGTCTAGTGTGGTCTGACTGGGGAAGCTCCATCATGTTCAAACACAGAGCTTCCACACCTTAGGTGAAGCAACCTGAGGTTCAGATGTCCAAGATCTTGTGTTGGAAGGTCTGGGAAAGGCAACAGAGTGACCAGGACTTCTATGGACATGTCTAGGAGGGATGTATACCAATGCTAATGGAACCAGGCTGATGCTATCGATATGGCCTGAGCTCGTTCCCTCTAGATCTTGAAGAATACCTTATAAATGAACAGTATTAGAAGATAACCTCCCCAATGGAGGCGGAAGATGCCTGTGCTGGAGCCCAGACTGTGATTTTGGAAGGAGCAGAACTGCTGGCATGTCCTGCTATGTTGCATGGCAAAAAAGGTCTACCTGGGAAAAAGCCCCACCTCTGTAAGATTGGAATTGTGACATCCAGGCAAAGGAACTACTTGTGGCCATGAAATGACCTGCTGAAATGGTACCCCTGCGAGGTTTGACACTGCAGATGTGTTAATATTCTACACAGAAGTCCCTTAACAGGGACCAAGGAGGTGGCAGCAGGT